ACCAACCTACTACTATGATATATATATCATAGATGACAATAAAGAGGAGATACATAAAAACAACTACTGTGAAAAAAATAGTAAAATGTGATTTCTCACATTACCAAGACATGTAAAACTAATAGATGCTGGTGGAATGGTCAACGATTTGTCCATTATACTTTAAATTCTTTCTGGAATTTATTAATTATAAATGAATCTAATCTGTTTAATCTTAAACAAATATTCATTTTAAAATCAAAACTATTTTTTATGATACAGTTTTCTCAGTCTTTTGAAAATTAATTTGCTGGATAAAATCTCTCACATTAATGAACAGAGCATTAGACACTTGTCCAGTTCTAATGCTGTATTTATTTGGATCGTAATAAACTTTATTAAAAAATTTTTACAGGGAATCTTCTAGACACATCCATCAGCATTTTCGGGAGGGATTTTTAATCAGAAGTGTTGTTTTTAACTTTCCAATATTTTTAAGCACAATTTTGATTTTAAAATTCTTAAGAAGAGAAGGTTTTCACGGTAGGGGAGAACCAACATATTCTTAGTTAAATATAAACTGTAAAATGTATTTCTAGCAGTTTTAAAGGATTTATCATATAAGTATTTTGGGTATTTTATGTCATTAGCTATTTCATAAATCTTAAAGATTTATTCATCTATGAATTCTGGGCTGCAAATTCGCAAAAAATAACCTGAAATGCATAAGTTTACCTCTATAATGATTTGAAGAATATTAGTTCACACAACAACGGTTATTTATTGGTTTTCCCTATATTTTAAGAACATAAGAACATAAAGAAGGAACACTGCAACAGGCCTACTGACCCATGCGGAGCAGGTCCATGTCCCCCCCCCGGATAAGCCCAATGACCCACCCCCCCAGATTAGCACAAAGACCCACCCTCCCCAGATTAGCCCAAAGAACCACCCACCCCGGATCAGCCAAATGACCCACCCAGTCTGGTCACCTCCATTCAAGGATGGAGCACGCCACCGACCAACTCACACCCACCCACACCCACCCACACCCACCCACACCCACTCATGTATTTATCTAACCTATTTTTAAAACTACACAATGTTTTAGCCTGAATAACTGTACTGGGGAGTTTGTTCCACTCATCCACAACTCTATTACCAAACCAGTGCTTTCCTATATCATTCCTGAATCTGAATTTTTCCAACTTGAAACCATTGCTGCGAGTCCTGTCTTGGCTGGAAATTTTTAGTACGCTATTTACATCCCCTTTATTTATTCCTGTTTTCCACTGATACACCTCGATCATAGCCCCCCCAGTTCTAAGCCTTTCGATAGAGTGCAGATTCAGGGCCCTCAGTCTATCCTCATATGGAATATTTCTGATACATGGGATCATCTTTGTCATCCTCCTCTGTACGTTTTCCAGAGCATTTATATCCATTCTGTAATATGGTGACCAGAACTGAGCAGCATAGTCTAAATGAGGCCTAACCAAGGATATATAGTGTTGAAGAACAACCTGAGCATTTATATTATTTATACTTCTAGATATGAAGTCAAGAATTCTGTTAGCTTTATTGCGAACACTGATGCACTGTTGTCTTGGTTTTAGATTACTGCTAACCAGAACTCCTAAATCCTTTTCGCAATCAGTAGTATTAAGATCTACATTATTTAGTTTATATGTGGCATGGTTATTTAACTGTCCAACATTTAGAACTTTGCATGTGTCAGTATTAAACTGCATCTGCCACTTTTCCGACCATTGCATCAGTCTATTCAAATCATCCTGGAGTGCTCTAGTGTCCTCATTAGAATGAATTGGACGGCCTATTTTGGTGTCATCAGCAAATTTGCTTATGTCGCTATTTATTCCCTCATCTATGTCGTTTATGCAAATTGTGCACAACAATCTGCCCAACACTGACCCCTGAGGAACACCGCTTGTGACGTGCCCCATTCTGATTTCTCCCCATTTATGCAAACTCTCTGCTGCCTATTTGTCAGCCATGCCTCTACCCAGGAAAAAATTTCTCCTCCTATTCCGTGTGCCTTAAATTTCCTCAATAGCCTCTGATGTGGAACTCTATCAAAAGCCTTAATGAAGTCCATATACACAATATCATATTCATTATCATGATCTACCTCCTCAAACACCTTAGCGAATAAAGTTAGTAAATTCGTAACACAGGAACGCCCCTTTGTAAAACCATATTGAGATTCATTAATCAATCTGTGCCTATCAAGATGGCTGCGAATTGCTTCAGCAATTATTGATTCCATAAATTTTCCCACTATGGAGGTAAGGCTTTTTGGTATATAGTTCGAAGCCAAGGACCTGTCACCTGCCTTGTAAATAGGTATTACATTTGCCATTTTCCACTTATCAGGCACTTTGCCAGTTTGTAGTGATATGTTAAAAAGATTAGCCAAAGGTATGCTAAGTTCCTCTTTACATTCTTTTAACACCTTTGCAAACAGTTCATCAGGACCTGGGGATTTGTTAGGTTTTAGTTTCTCTATTTGTCTGAGGACCATGTCACTAGTTACCGCAATCGTACATAGTTTGTTATCATCCTGTTCTACATAATCTATTATTTCAAGAATATCGCTAGTATTTTCCTGGGTGAAAACTGAGAGGAAGTAGGTATTTAGAATTTCATACATATCCTTATCACTGTCAGTGATCTGACCAGAGTTACTCTTAAGTGGGTCAATCTTGTCCCTAATCTTACTTCTGTTTACCTGAAAGAACCGTTTTGGGTTAGTCTTTGAATCCCTTGCGACCTTAGCCTCATAATCCCTTTTTGCTTTTCTTATTCCTTTCTTTATTTCTCTCTTTTAATTGAATATATTGATTGCTTAACTGCCCATCCCCTCTTTTGATACGCCTATATATGCCTCTCTTTTGACCAATGAGATGTTTTAATCTATTGTTGTAATAAAGTTGGTAGATTTACCGACAATATGTAAAGTAAAAGGACACAAGTGCAACTAATGTGACATTTATTGTGGCAACGTTTCGCTCTCCACGAGCTTTATCAAGCCATTTTATCTCATGAAATTCAGAGACGCCCAATTAGAGCCTTTATATACCCTCTGTGTCCATGTATTGTTTGTAATGGCTTGATAAAGCTCCTGGAGAGCGAAACGTTGCCACAATAAATGTCACATTAGTTGCACTTGTGTCCTTTTACTTTACATAATCTATTGATCATCCATTTGGGATCATTTTTGTTAGATTTAATTTCCCTACTCGGAACAAAAGTTGTCTGGGCAACTAGAACTATGCTCTGAAAAACGTCATGTTGGCAACCAAGATCACCTACCTGACCCATAGTTAGGACATCCCAATTCAGCCCACCCAGGTAATTTTTCAGCGAAAATCTTGGACAGATATCTGACTGCAGTTATCTGGGTAATTCCATGATATATTGAAACTAAGTGATTTGTGATCACTTTCCCCAAGCTCATCATTAACCTCATGATTATTAATTAGTGAATCTTTGTTGGCATGAACCAAGTCAAGCAGATTGTTTCTTCTAGTTGGTTCTGTAACAACCTGTTCTAAAAAGCAATCCTGAACCGTATCAGAAAGTCACTAGACTCAAGATTTCCTGTCATATTGCTCCAATCAATTTGTCTAAAGTTAAAAATCTCCCATTATCACAACATTTTCATATCTAGATACCTTATGAATTTCATCCCATAACAGCTTACTGCATTCCCTATCAAGGTTTGGGGGCCTATAAATCACACCCAAAATTAATTTGTCACGTCCCTCGAGAAACTGTAGCCAAACAGATTTTGTGTTCGATGTTTCTAATCTTATATCATGTCTAAGACAACAGTTTAAATTTTCACTGACATACATCGCCACTCCACTACCCTTCCTGTGTGGAATAGTTTATAACCCCGTATGTTGCATTCAGAAGGCATTTCTTTATCTTTCAGCCTTAAGAAATCTAGTCACTCGTTGCCCTCTACTATCTTTCTTTGTTGATCAGTTGATTTGCCATTACTAGCAACTTTATTTTGAGTATTGTCTTTTAAACATATCCCTGAGGTATCCCGGTAATAACTGCTGTTTTTAACCCTAATGCTGCAGCCTGGTTATTTCCCACAAACACCCATACCTCTACAATCTATCAGTTTAAATTCCCTCTCTATCGAATTAGCTAATGCAACCACTCCATCCCCAGAGAGATGAACCCCATCCCTTGCATACATATCACGTTTGCCAAAGAATAGGTCCCAGTTATTAATGAATGGGATTGCAAGAGCCTTGCAGTACCTATCTAGCCAGCAATTTATACCAATTGCCCTAGACATCCATTCATTGCCCACTCCCTTTCTAGGCAAGATGCTACATGTGACTTGGATCCCTGCCTTAGACCTACCTACTTCTATGGCTGACCTGTACTTATCCAGCAGCTCCTCTCTCCTGTCCTTCCCAGTGTCATTACCCCCAGCACTAAGACAGATAATGGGCTTGTTCCCATTACCTGCCATAACATTATCCAACCTGCTGACTATGTCACCAACACCAGCTCCAGGAAGGCACACTCTCTGTCTGACCTTTCTGTCTCTGTTACAAAATGCACGGTCCATATATCTTACCTGAGAATCGCCTACTATTAAAATATTCTTACCAAATGCTCCAAAGGCGGGTTATCATCTGACTAAGACCCTCGTCAGGAAACACTTATCCTGTTTCCTGACGAACCTTACCTAACCTAACTTGCCAGCCATCTGCACAGGCTTGCATGGTAATTAAATGTGGACTCATTTTGATTGCCATTGAATCTGTATAGCTGTGGTGGCACCGTTATTATTGGTCAAAAACCTTTTGCCAGGTGAGAATAGAGCCGATAAGAACGAAGTTGATAAAAATATAGTTGATAAGGAAAATGCTGTCAATAACAAAGATTATAGAAATAGTTTGTTACCTAATAAATGTTTATAGTTTGCTGGTTACCGAGTGAAACATGTAGCGGTGGATAAAACTGTAACTCACTTGAGTGATGGCCACGACTGGAAGCCATACTCAGACGCAAATCTGGTGCGTGGTGTGTTTGCACCAATCCATGCATCGTCCATGTAATTGTAGTAATGAGCTGTAAGCAAGAAAAGTTACTTCATGAATGTCTAGTATATATATATTTTTTATAGTATAGAGCTGGATGCTATTGACAGCTTCAGTGACAAAGCTGGAGTCTAAAATTTTCTTGATTATAACATGGTCTCTATAAAGGTTCTTGAATTAATATATGTATACCTGTGCGTGAGTAAATCCTACTCTTATGTGAATTACAAATGGTAATAGTTTACATAGTCTTCACACACACACACACACACACACACACACACACACACACACACAGAACAAGCTATGTCTCCATCAACAAGCGTCTATTACAACTGATAACGAACAAACGAGTTTGCGTGCGTAGCTGTCAGCTATGCATCTCCTGGATTATCGTAGTTATGAAAAGGAGAAAGTGCCCATTTAGCATTATATACGTATCTAATCTCTTTAATTGCTGATATGGATAAACAAAAAAAAATGAAAAATAGGTTTGGGAGAGTTGTGGTGTGTTGGAAGAGGCATCGTGAGTACGAGACCAGTGAGGGTGAGCTCTAAGTAAACAATGATCATATTTTGTGAAGTGCCATGTGACGTGATAGCTAAGAAAATGGGTTGTGGGATGAGACAGTAAAGGTCACAGTTGGTGCCGCTGATACAATCATGTCACATAAATTCTGCGTTTAAAATAATCCAATTAGAACCCTCATGGCTGAATGGTTACAGCACTGGACCTGCTACATGAACCCTCGTCCACTTTTGTGCGTACTTCAATAACAGTCGTTCATTACGACTGATCTTGAGTTTATTAACTATATGACTTTGAGCAGCATAAGAACAGAGGTGCTATGAAAGCAACAGGGATGTGCAATGATACTTTCTGGTCACACTTGGTGCTGCAGATCAAACAATGTCATGCAACTAAAGAACTGATTGTACAATGATTATATCAAGAACCCTCGTTGGTGAGTAGTACCAGCGTCGAGCCTGATACATGCCAGGACACCGCCTTCAGTCCCAGTCAGTTCTTTTGTCCAGTCATTGACAGTCGTTCATTATGACAAATCTTGGGGTTCTAGACAATGCAGGTATCAAAATCAAATTAGTTTAGATTACATTAGATGAAATTTCTAAGGAAGATTCAGTGCCAAAATAAGAATTTTTACACCATATTTAATTGGAGGTCAGTGTTTAGGAGAAGTCAGATATCAAGTCGTGCCAAATAGGTAAAACTGGTTCAATTAACAAGAACTCATTTAAAATTAAGTCCGTTATAAAATTTTCTCTTACACTTTTAAAGATATATTTTTTACATTTGTTACTGTAAAAATTAGTAATTTTGTACCAAAAGAACCTTAGAAAACTTACCTATTTAATTTAGCCTAATCCAACTAAATATATATTAGATAAATTTACAGTAATTTAATGATAAGCAAGCACAATAAACTATATTTTTTTCGTTAGGTTCAGAATGATTTTTGCGAAATTACTGCATACACAAATTTTCGTTTGCCTTATTCGGCAAGAAGAGCTTTGGTATTTAAGCCAAACTCGCAAGTTTTACCTATTCGGTATACGACATATATATATATATATATATAATATATATATATATATATATATATATATATATATATATATATATATATATATATATATATATATGAACGTAGACTGTTGTAATAAACAACCTTCAATGAATAAACAGAAAGATGAACAGGGGGCACTAACCGCGGTCTGTAAATTAACAGTCGGTTGCTCTACCGTCTTCACCTCCAGGTTTACAAGAGGAAGGAATCGGAACTCGTACTTACACCAGCAATCCTACCCTTGTGTACAACAATTACAGGTTTCCATTTTACACTCATTTACAGAACGGTTAGTACCTTCCTGGATGGTTGCTATGTTCCAACTTAAGACCTGTATCTACCAACCTAACTACCTATATGAGTGAAAGGACACAAGTACATACACTCTGGATAACCTTTGAAATGCCTTACGGTCCTTGGAACTTCGTCACTCCAAATAATTTGAAGTGACCAGGTCTCAGGACCGAAGTTGCACAGTTAAAAAATTTAATTGAAATTGGACAAAAAAAATTGATATCCCTCGTCGCCCCCTTAAACATCATTTTTTTAACGTGTTTCCAGTCACACAAAAAATGATCAGCTATCTACATTGCAACAGTTTTGGATATCTTATTTTTCATCATTCAGTGGCGACAATCAGCGGTTTCACCACAGTTAGTAATATTATTATTGTTATTATATGTAGGCGAGGACTGCAATCCTCCTACAGCAATTTATAAGTAATAAAGCAAGAAATAATTAAAAAGTACGATTAAAATCAAAGACACTTCTTATTATATATATCACTTGTTTCCAGCTTATAACTAGCCCTGTGATGTTTATCTGGAGTTTATCTGGAGAGAGTTCCGGGGGTCAACGCCCCCGCGGCCCGGTCTGTGACCAGGCCTCCTTAGGTCAGTGTCCCAGGATGCGACCCACACCAGTCGACTAACACCCAGGTACCCATTTTACTGATGGGGAACATAGACAACAGGTGGAAAGAAACACGTCCAATGTTTCTACTCTGGCTGGGAATCGAACCCAGGCCCTCGCCGTGTGAAGCGAGAGCGTTAACCACCAGGCCACCATTTATATAGAAATATATATGTAGTGTTTGTCTTAATAATAGTATCACGACATAGCTAATAGTAACTGATGTTCAGTCATTACCAGTAAGAACATAAGAACATAAGAATGGAGGAACACTGCAGAAGGCCTACTGGCCCATGCAAGGCAGGTCCTTAAAGTTACCCACCATCTCCATACAAGGTGCTGGATGGGTTCTCAGCGATATAACCTTCTTCTTCAGACTCTATACCATTGCTGGGAGAACTGACAACAAAAGATCGCGTACCATCCACGTCTTGAGTTACGTTTCGAACTGTGTCCACGTATAATAAAATGTAATCTGCTTTATACTGTTCGAAGTTGGAGGAAGTGCCATACCTGCAAAATACATTAATTAATAATACAACTTAGCATTATATTTTAGCAGTGGTTCCTAAATTTCTCTCAATCGTATACACCTTGATATTTGTATTATCAACCACATATGATTTTATATTAGTGCAAAAATAACTTTCTACAAATATTATTTGAAATAAAGGTATGAAAAGTCCCCTCAAGGGGAGGTTCCTTGACGCTGGTGAGGGGCTCTTGATCTAGGGAAATGGATCTGTGCTCCGGTTCCCTAAATTGAGTCTGAATACCTTCCATCCCCCCAACGCTAAATCCTATGGGTTTAGCGTTCCCCCTTTATAATAATATGAAAAAAAAATTAAATTTTAGAAGTATTTAATTTCACTGTAGAACAGTACAGTTCCAATAACAAAAAATAAATTAGCGAAAAAAAACTTTGTATATTTTAACGTTAATTTTTACTGTTGCAACATGAAGATAAAGATTCTAACATAAAATAAATCCTGAATATTTTTAATTAAAAATACTAATTTAGGTATAAAGTGCAAATATGTGTTCGGGACTCGAAATATTTGCAATTGTTTCATCTGGAGAATTCACATCGACACCATGCCTAACCCTTCTAGGGTAGGGTAGGTGCCTGAGTCCGAGCCTTTAGCTCATACGACTGTCATTCCCATTTGCTCCCTTGGGGCGGGGATGGCAGACCAGAGAGGCCTAGCTTGTGGCTAGGCCTGGGGACAGTTGGTCCCAAAGATGAGGTACTTGTGCCTCCTCCCATGGGAGACTTCGGTCTCAGACACTCCATAAAGAGGGAGCCAAGGCCGGGCCACCACTTGGAAAAGGCCCGGGCCGGGAGAATACCGGCTAATCTTTAATAATAATAATAATAATAATGGAGAATTCATTGCCAACAATGTGTGTGCTTATTGAAAGTCCGGGTTTGAGTTATTAAACCCGGTAGACAGGTTCTCTGAGGTCATCCTCCACAATGAACCTCCACCAATTTGGTCATTATGGTCCTGACACTAAACCGACTCAAAAACTTTTCATATTTCAACAAAAATAAAACACGTACATATACCTTTGTCTTAATATAACACAGAAATTACTTTTAATTCAACAAGATTTCCCTAAAGCTTGGGAAATTTACGTTTGATTAAAAAATGCTAATTATAAATATATCAATTAAAAAAATAAACGAAAGCGTTACCATGACAACAGATTATAATTGATCTAGTGTCCCGTGAAAATTCATTCGTGGTCACCTGGGAGGTTTTCCAACCCCAATTTTTCAACTCCTATATTATAGGACTTGTATCTTGTGTATTACTTATCAAATTTTTTTTGGTGATAAATATCAAATATTACCCTATTTCTAAAAATATATAAACAGTGTTTTTTATGCAATCATATCAAAATCTGGCAAGGAATTTATTGTTCATACAAGATGTGTCGAGCTCACAGCTTCATGAATCTTGCCGTGTACTGATGAGTTTAAAATTCAATCCCAGACTACTGCTGTTCTCGCTCTGTTTACTTCTATTCACAAAGTTTATACAGTATCCAACTACTGAACGAGTGTGTGTGTCTAGAATACAAATTCCATTGCGTCTTTAATGTTTTCACGAAATAAGGATTGTTGACATATCTAAACCACCTGGTGGCAGCTGTACCTACTCCTCCGTGTCACTTGTGTCCTGGTGGCAGCTGTACCTACTCCTCCGTGTCACTTGTGTCCTGGTGGCAGCTGTACCTACTCCTCCGTGTCACTTGTGTCCTGGTGGCAGTTGTACCTACTCCTCCGTGTCACTTGTGTCCTGGTGACAGCTGTACCTACTCCTCCGTGTCACTTGTGTCCTGGTGACAGCTGTACCTACTCCTCCGTGTCACTTGTGTCCTGGTGACAGCTGTACCTACTCCTCCGTGTCACTTGTGTCCTGGTGACAGCTGTACCTACTCCGTGTCACTTGTGTCCTGGTGGCAGTTGTACCTACTCCTCTGTCACTTGTGTCCTGGTGACAGCTGTACCTACTCCTCCGTGTCACCTGTGTCCTGGTGGCAGTTGTACCTACTCCTCTGTCACTTGTGTCCTGGTGACAGCTGTACCTACTCCTCCGTGTCACTTGTGTGTTGCTGCTGATTGTGGAACACATTTTGACTGCTCATGGCTTTGTGTTTTCACATTGGTAGAAGTTTGAATAATTTCCCGGGTACCTGGAGGGTCTTCGTTGTCAGTTTAATGCTTCTCATCTATTGTAGGTTATTTTAATTTTTGTGTGATTGTAATTACTTGTGTAGTGTAATTCTTCGTATTATTAGTTTTTATTTTCTTGCATAGTTTTATTTTGTTTTTGTTTTTCACATTTTTTATTAACACATCGGCCATTTCCCACCGAGGCGAGGTAAACAGAAAAAAAAGGAAATACTTTTATTATCATATACTCCATAACTGTCTTGCCAAAGGCGCGTCTACAACAGTGTTCAAAAACTGCAGCTTATCTCCACCCGTCCTGCAGGGTGCTGGCACTCTACTTCCAGCCTCCAGGACTTAAGTCCTGCTAACCAGTTTTCCGGAATCCCTTCATTAATGTTACGTTGCTCACACTTCAACAGCACGACAGGTCATAAAAATCATTTGCCTCTACTTGTTCCTAGTTTATATGCCCACACACACTTGCAGGAAGTCTAAGCCCCTTACACACTAAACCTCCTTTACTCCATCCTTTCCTAGGACGACTCCTACCCCCCCCCCCCACCCTTTCCATTTTTTTCACTACAGATATTTCTATGCCCTACAAAACACTTTATTCCTCAACAATCTGGAAAATACTTTTAGAAATCCTGCAGCTCCATCTAATCTCCAACCTACAATTCCTCTGCATTATTATATTCACACCACAGATTGCCCTCAGACACTACAACTCCACTGCTCCCAGCCATCTTGTTGCAACATTCACCACCCTTATTTCACATATAAGAGCGTCTGGTATAACTATACTCTCATACAGTTCCCTCTTTGCTTCCATGGATATCGTTCTTTGTCTCCACAGACTCCTCAGTGCACCACTCACCTTGTTCCCCCTCATCAATTCTGTGATTTACCTCGTCTTTCATAGATCCATCTGCTGACAAGTCCACTCCCAAATATCTGAATACATTCACTTCCTCAGTATTCTCTCCCTCCAATCTGATATTTCATCTTCCATCTCCTACATTTTTTATCATCACCTGGCACTTTCCTATATTCATATTTAAGTTCCATCTTTTACACACCTTTCCAAACTCGTCCGCCAGCGTCTGCAACCTCTCTTTCAGAATTTCCCAAAAGTAGTGTCATCAGCAAAAAAGCGTCTGTGACAACTCCCACTTAATGTCACACCTCTTGCCAACACCCGAGCATTCACTTATCTCACAACTCCATCTATAAATATATTGAACAACCATGGTGACATCACACATCCCTATCTAAGGCCTACTTTTACTGGGAAATTATCTCCATCTCTCCTACATTATCTAACCTGTGCCTCATTATCCTCGTACAAACTCTTAACTGTTTTCAGTAACCTACCGCCTATTCCATACACTTGCAACATCTGCCACATTGCTTCTATATCCACCATATCATATGCCTTTTCCAAATCCATAAAAGCAACGAAAACCTCTTTACCTTGATCTAAATACTGTTCAATTATATGCTTCACACCCCTACTCTTCCTCAAGCCTCCTTGTTCATCTGCGATCCTGCTCTCTGTCTTGCTCTTAATTCTTTCAATCAGGTATACTTAACAGGCTTATTTTTCTATAATTTTTATACTCTCTTTTGTCCCCTTTGCAAGATATATTTGATAACAGATATATCTTGCTTCTACTTAAACTACACATGCATATACACTCATCTGAGTTTTCTTCAATTTTTCTTAACATTCCTTATTCTTATTATTTCCTTTCACCTCCATGGGGAAGTGGAATAAGAATCTTTCCTCCGTAAGACATGCGCGTTGTAAAAGCCGACTAAAATGCCGAGAGCAATGGGCTAGTAACCCCTTCTTCTGTATACATTATTAAACATAAGAAAACTTTTAAGCTGGATGTTTGATTGTACGTGGATGTAGTGCAGATGATAAAGAAATGAAGAGAACGAAAAAAAAACTGGATGTCCTGGCTTTAAGTGAAACGAAGTTGAAGGTGGTGGGTGAGTTTCAGTGGGGAGGAATATATGAGATTAGGTCAGGGGTTTTCAACAGAGTTAGAGCTAAGAAAGAGTAGCAATAATGTTGAAGGATCAGTTATGGTAGAAAAAGAGATAATATAAATGTATCACTTCAAGGATTCTATGGAGTAAAATAAGGGTCGGATGTGAAAAGTGAGGAGGAGCTTACGACGACGTATCGCTCCGACTTGGACCATTTACAAAGTAACAATAAGACAAAGTGAGGCAGCCAGGCTTTTCTTTTTCCGTTTATAGCGGCATCTTCCCTATGTTGAACACACGCGTTTTTGCGGTCATCATTTCTGCAAGCATTTTTGTGTTCTGCGATTCTAATGTCCAAACGCTTGCAGAAATGATGACCGCAAAAACGCATGTGTTCAACATAGCGACGATGTTGGACACCTCATGAATTTCAATGAAGCTAAACTAGTGATTAAAGAAGACGACTTAAGGCGGAGAAAATGCATTGAAGCTGCACTAATCGCTGTCAGTAACACTATAAAGCAAAAATCCGGTAGTTACAGTATCTCTAATTGCTAATCAACAGGATATTACCCATTCTGGAAACTGCTGTTACATGATGTCAGCAGGTCCCTCTCTAGCCATCCGTCTCACCACCTTAGTTCCGTTACTACTACTAACAAAGTTAAATTAGACACATGTGCAACTTTTGGGTATCATTATTGAGGAAACGTTTCGCCACACTGTGACTTCATCAGTCCATACAAAGGATGAACTTGATCAGGAGGAGAATGAGGTAATCAGTCCCTCAGCCTTGAGTCGATGTGGTCAGTCCATCAATCTTGAATAGATT